TTTTGGTTATCCACTAGTTTAAGACAGTCGATATCGCTTGTACTTACACAGATCGACTAACTTTCTTTTTAAACCATTGACGATTACCACATGCAAATTAAAGATATGACAAGAATATGAAATGTTAAAATTATATTGGTTAACCGTAGTTTATTCTGTAGTGAGTGGAAATTAGTTTGTGTGTAATCCATGCAATCTCGACAGAGATATTGAAGGATTTGAAGGAAATTGGGAACGTTTTTCGTCATAATTTTTTTTCAATTGAAAGCTGCTGTGTCTGTCAGAACTACAGCCATAGAATTTGTACTGCTATAGAAATAACGATAAACCCCCAACTTCATTATCAGGTCGTAATATGCGTATGAATATGAAGTTTTCAAAGTTATAATTAATAATGTCATTTGCAGAAATCGGCGATACAAGAAAAATTAATTACATGTGCTGTGGTCCATTAGACCCCAGTGAGAATTCTGTATCTCTCATAACAAATCATATCCACTCAGCAACATACAGCTAATGAGAGTGCGTAGTGCAGTAGCATGTTATTGTAGCAGTAATTTAATATGCAACGTTATATGAATAAAGTCTGAACGTATTCCGAGTTGAACCGCGTGTGTGTATTATAATTTGTTTGACCGTTTGGACATGAGTATTCACTTTGCCGGCAGAGTTATTGATTGGTTTCGGATCGTCTGCATTAATGCGTCTATTGACCGTGAGGGAACGGGGGGAGGTACCCGAGATTTTGTTATTTTGTTTGGCCTTTGTAGGTTTAATCGTCGGCCAACATGCTGTCTACCATATTGCATTCAAAAGTAAAAGCAGTCTGTTCTTTCCTTGTGTTCTATTGTCCCATCCTGTTATTCTTCTCCTTTTATTATTTCGTTTTTTCTTTGTTCTCTCTCTCTCTCTCTCTCACTCGCTTCCTGGAGCTCCTTTCGTCCACTAGGTCTAGCCGATCACAAAGTCTTTTATCGAACGTCGCGGTTGAGTGGTTAGTCCTTCTTCCTATTCTGGATTTCCCAGGTTCATATCTAGGCCCGGAGACCACCACTGAGGTTCTTCGTAGTTTTCTTCAATCTGTCCAGGCAGATGCTTGTATATTGTCTCAAATTGCATTACCCGTTCTTTGGACATCCTTGTAAATCTATTATGCATCGGTCATTCCGTCGTTAGACGCTGTGTAGTCTGGCCTACTAAAAACGTCTTTCAATAAAACACGATAGAGGAGAGAGTGCTTCACAAGACAAGGCAGTAAAAGAGCAGAATTTGAATCCAAGAAAGCTGTGTTTGAGTTGTCCAAGGCCTTGGCTACACTTGAAAGATGGGTCCGACGTCCTGTTTATTTGTTCTTCGTGACAAACAGTCTCCATTCTTGAGGAATTTCTTGCCAGTAACCCACGTCCTTTGCAGAGTTTTATTTTTGGTAATTTTCTCCGTTACGTAGCCTTTATGATGGCGAAAGCGAGGTGGAAATCTAGTCAAAAAACGACAGCGAGTTGCAAACGTGTGCGTATTAACTACGCCATGTCATGTTTGAATTGGTCTGAGGGTGGTAAATAAATTGAAGTGACCCGGGAAATGATCGAGTGTTAATGTCGTGTTAATACGGTGATGAAACTTTGAGATTCATAAAATCAGGGAGTATTTTGACCATCTGAGCAACTGTAGCTCAGAGATGTTAGTTGAATGAGCATATCTGTGATGATCCGTGTGTCCGGAAGAGTGGTGCCGCCGACTGCTTGGTTTCCGGGGTCGTTGAGATTCAAGCAGGCGGGCTGGCTGCAGCTCTAGCTGCTCCAGGCTGGCTCCCCCAGCTTCCCTCCCGCGGGAATATTGATTTCGAAATAACTTAAAAGTCTTGCAGTGCCTAGGAGTGGGCTGCGTCAGGCTAACATTGACACATTGGGGGGTCGCCTCCCCTAAGAACCCTTCCACGAACTTGGAATGCTGCTTCAGAGTTGTACGAGACATTTCTGGCAGCTATCTCTTTTAATTAGTGCCCTTCTTCAGAAGTTGGTATTTCTGCATTAATATGTCTGCTTTTGGGAAAGACGAAGCTGTGATGGCCATCGTCGTATTCAGATTAATGCGTATTTCAAGACGGTCTTGAAAACGTCGATAACAGTTTAGGACTTTATTGCCTGGTTAATTATTAAAACGTTATCTGTATAAAGATAGTCTGTCGGTGTTAATGAAGTTGGTAATTTAAGAAGCTTTTAATTACAGAACCTTTATCTCGAGTCCGTTCGCCTCGAATTTTCTTCGAAATAGTTCTGCCGGTCCCGGAACTGAAAATAATTTCACTCCGCTGTTCAGCTAACAACGCGAAGAGTTCATGTCACCGTCTTTGTGTACCACTGGGGGTGGGGGGGTGGGGTTATACTGGGTGAAAGGAAGGGGCAAATTAGATTGATTACAGATTTATGAAACTCGCGGTGGATACTACGCTTTTGCGTGTGGCGCCAGAGGGACTGTTTTCAGGGTGACTGGGGTCGTGAGGGAGTGTTGTCGTGTTGGACCTGGACAACAGATGATTATTGAACTGTGTGCCATTCTACACTAGCGGTAATATGCTTCCAGGTTAATCTTTCGTTGGGTTGTCGTGTGCTTTAATTTTTAGTCGGTATCAGTCGAATACGAGCAGGACTGTCTGAAGGCAGTAAAAACTGGGTTTCGGGGCGAACGACAGGGATTAGATTCTTGGCAAAGACGAGAATATAGAATTTTTTATTTTCCGTGACATTCAAATCGGTTCTTGGGCCCACACAGGATCGTATTTAATGAATACCAGGGCCTCTGTCCTTGGGGCAAGGCGGCTGGGACGTGAAGGTGACAGCTCACCTCCATCTAATGCCGAGGAGGTGCATGGTGCTTAATTAAGCTCTGGGACAAGTTTATCTTTGTAAGGCCAACCTAAATCGTACTTTTCTTTGATCTCAAATAACACACGAAAGGTTCATCCTACAAAACACTGGCTGTGTGTCATAAAAATATATTTATATTCTTTAAATATACGTATTTATTTGTTTTGACGTGTTTTGTAACTGAATATAAGGACATTTTATTTTGTTTCTGTACAGTATAATGTGCCTTTGGGGAATCATTTTGTATTTGTAATAAATGAACATCAAAGTCATTGACATGCGAGAATAATCAAATTACAAAAGATGTGTTTAGAAAATGGAAATACACTTTCGTGCTCTTGGGACTGTTTCTGAGGCAAACGTAGTTTGTGGTAGTTCTATTCTTAACTTCTATTTCCAGAAACGAACTTCCAGTACTTCCAAAGTATTGATAGATTGTACCTTTGTAGTTTATGAAAGTGAAGATTACGTCAAAGAGAAACATGACGAGGTGTATCCTCTTGTGTTGTTTGGTAGGTTTATCGATCTTCTGTTGCGTCTCGAAGCGTGCCAGAAATATCGCGGAACCTTGATGAACGATTTGAAGCCGAAGCCCGCCTAAATATTTGAGCATTCTCTCCGTATCTAAAAGTAAACACAATATCCAAAGCCGATAATATCTGCATTTAGTGTCAGCGTTAATAACTCTGGAGTTTTATCTACGGCTTCATTGCGTGTTGGTTAGGTTAGGTTAGGTTAGGTTAGGTTAGGTTAGGTTAACTCTGCCTTTGCTCTGTGTACTGGATGAAGTCTGAAGAGGCATCTCACCACCGTCATGGCGTGAATGTGATGTCGATTTTTCGGATTTGTAATGGTAATGTTTGTTCGCTAATACAGTAAACCCATGGCGAGAAGAAACCAAAGTTCAAATATTGCTGCTGTAAATGGTAGACCGTGAAACTGATCCCTTTTTTATCCCTCCGTTGTTGATGAGTTATTTAAAGCAGAACTCCCCAAACCGTTACGTTTAAATATGCGCTTACAGGAGAACCTCGGGTCTGTCCTGTGTCTTCGGTTGGTTTGGCGTTGGGATGTGTATTCGGAAAGTATTGTGTCCCGTTCTTGGACTATTTTCCAGATCGACGCTTTTCGTAGGTTTATCAGTCTCTGGGCGAATTTCGTGGTGGTACCTTGAAGCATGATCACTCATGATCATCATACTTACATTTCAATGGACATTATCTGACTGATGATAGTGAATGGCGAATTCGAATGATTGTGTGCTGAATCCGTGCTTCCATCTTCAGGTATCTGTTGGGCCCCCTGGTAGAGGTGTCCTCCGACCTGAGGCCTGTCAGCATAGCCTGTACTGTTTTGAAGCGGATTCCTCAGAACACGAGGTCGCCGTCGCAGGGGGGGTGGTTGTACATTTTTGTCAGCCTGTAGGCGTTGTGTATGCAACATGCAAGCGCCGTGCCGTGCCGTGAAGTAGGTTAAATTCGATCGGTGGACGTCTTTATAGCAGGTGACGTGGTTTCCGTCAGTTGTCGAGTGCGGGGGGCAGTGGACAGCAAGCAGGCCTGGGTGTGTATGTTCCTTGAGTAAGCACTTAATTACGATGTTCTGGCAACACCGAGTCAACAGCTCTCCGCGACGCTCCCAGCAGGACGTCGCCGATGACGGAGAGAGTCCGGAAGAATCCGTCGCTTCTGGCGGATACAGAACTCAGATGAGGTCAGATGATCGCCTACTATCTCATTGAGGAGTAAAGGAGGTTTCGCTTGATTTTTGGCTTATTTAACAGCACCGTTTCAATTATAAGGCTACTGAGAACAGAGCTGTATAGTGTGGTTCAAAAAGTAGATTGACTTTCGGGTTAGTTAACTTTGTTGATTCGTCTGTATGGCGGTAGAATGAGATTGAAAGATGAGGGGATTTGGAAGAAGGCGTTTGTTGTCTGTTTGAAAGCATTGCCACAACATTGTGTTGGAGAGTCTGGAGAAAAACATGGTATTGCGTTCAAGCTGTCTGAACAAGAGTGCAAAGGTTGTAGAGGTGATAATCTCGTGTTCATAATCATAGGAAGTGATTTGAGAATTTGAACGAATTCGGGAAACAGTGAAAAAGTCGTCTTGGTGGGAAAATATTTCTGAGTGCAAATCTTATTTTGGATGTACTGTAAAAAAGTACCGACAATATTCAAAGTGTGTTAGCATGAAAAGTAGGCGGAATTGTTCGTGTGTTCTCATCTGCAATGGCGCAGGATATTACGACATATTGAAATATGATGATGAATGCAGAATGGAATCCGCAGGTTCAGCATATCAGCTTTGTTTTTCAAAGCTACAAAACAATAGAAACTCCGAAGTACGGAGATCTACGCATAATTTTACGTCACGAACATTAGCAATGCGTATATGCCGAGTCCTTGACGTTTGACTTTGAGGTTGTGAAATGTTCATATTGTGCTGGTGGCTGGCTCGCTACTCTGTTTCTACATTTGGAACCAGACAGGCGTTTTTGAGGAGCCCAGACGCCTGCTGTGGGTGTATGCCTTCAACACTATGAAGTTTAGGAATAATGCAGATGTACAGAGTGTTTATTATTATTATTATTAGTGTTCTGTCTGACGACAGGTCCGTTTCCTCGGCAGATGATTCAGAAGTGGTTTGCCATTGCCTTCTTCTGTGTGTGAATGGAGTAATTGTTGGGATGCCACGGAGGAAAACTCCGTGTTGCCTAGACCACGGCCTTGCCCAACACAAGTTATAAATGCGGGCACCGCCGGGAATCGAACCCGAGACCCCAGGATTACAAGGCCAGCCTTCTAACCGCTAGACCACCTCATCTAATTTTTATTTAGTTTTCTGTCTGACGACGGGTCCATATGAACAGGATCCTTCCATCCTTTTCTCGGACTGGGACCTGTTCATATACGTTCTTGGCAGATGATCCAGAAGTGGTTTGCCATTGCCTGCTTCTGTGTGTGAATAGAGTAATTGTTGGGATGCCACGGAGAAAAACTCCGTGTTGCCTAGACCACCACAAGTTATAAATTCGAACCCGAGACCCCAGGATTACAAGGCCAGCGTTCTAACCGCTAGACCACTTTGGCTCTAGATGTACAGTACACCGTTGTAATTAATTACTGCGCAAATTTCTGATGCTGTGGATGAATGAACAGGGATGTGGAATATTTAGGTAGTGGCCTATTTCAAGGCTCTGTACAACATAACTCTTCCTGCTGGATGAAAGGAAACCATTAAAAACTGTGTCAGAATAACCGATATTCAACCCAAAAAACGGAAGCATGGTGCTAACATCTGCGCCGCAGCGATATATCGATTTGTTGACTACAAAGACGAAGGGATTCCCCCATGAGTAACAGGGAATTTTACTTCTTACGTTAGACAGTTTGTCAGCCTGTCTGTATCTGCTCTTTCCCGTGGTGTTATATTCTGACAAAATGCCACCGACGATTTATAAGAATTGAAACCTTCTACACCAGTCAGAAGTGTGAGAATGATTTTGGCATCCGACGTTTCGGAGACTGCTCCATTCTCACACATCTTATCGCCCAAGAAAACTTAATTCAATTGCCTTGTGTAATCAGCTGTTAGTCAGCGAAAGAACGCACTTCTAATTGCATTTGTATTACAGGGTCTACTCAAAATAATTAGATACTTCGACCGAGTTATAGTATGTCAGTATTATAAAACGGGATAGCTCAGTAAAGTTATTGATTACGATTTGGGCTACCGGGGGTCGAGTCCCGTCAAGGACACAATTTGTTTCTGCGACGCTGCCATCCAGACAAGTTTTTGTGCCCATCCCAGGGGAAAGTTTCGTTGGGATTGGAGCCACGCCTGACTGTCAACCAATATCAAACGTAGGATTTATTCCTGATTTGTTTGGCATCGTGTATGATACTGTATTACTACTATACGGTTTACAGTCGCTGGCACAGCCGATTCTTTTGTGTTGATTCTTGTAGCCTGACAGCCGTCTGCAGAATTGGTAGTGGTTTATTACACTGTCTGAAACACGTGGTCCATTTATCTCATGGTTCTTATTTAAATGATGTATGGGCTGAGTGTCCCACGCGGTCCTGCAGGCCTCGTTAAGAGATTCAATTGCTTCGTGGTGGGGCAACGTACGCAGTGTTATGAATTCAAAAAGGTTGTGTAAAGAAAGTATGACGTCTGACTTCCTTTCAGAAACTTCCATATTTATACGTAAGTTGATAGGAATTATAAACTTATAATTTATAAAACTCAGCGATGTATTTATTTGTGTAGATGAGTTCTAAAATGTCGCCGCGTCTACAGGTTTGTAAGTTTTGACAAGAGACGTCTATTAACGTGTGCACTTCCAAATTTTACTTATCTGCGTTGATTCGTTAGTTATACTCTAAATATCGATTTATCGTTTCCTCCATTTAATTATTATACGTTATTGGATGTGTCGTATACATTCATCTGCTCGTTAGATCACTAAATTTTGTAATTATTCATCTATTCTGCCAGCCTCGCCTGATTGAACGTCTTACGTTAATAAGTGTATTTGTTTATATATTTCGGCACTTAACAACGCTGTTAGTAGCTCACATCGTTTGATAGGATGATTAATGAATAATGAATTGGTAAGGATATGGAAGGAAGCTGTCGCGGCCTAATTCTTCATTGTAATTTTCCGGTATTTGACTGAGGGAAACCATGATAAACCTTAGTCAGGATAGTTGGTCTCCTTGCCAGCATCTGATCCCGGGACGAATGAGGTGTGGTAACCACTGAGCCCCGGCTTCGGGTGTTGAGTCCACTTGAAACGAGCGCCTTCCTGTGTTAACAAATTGGTGATTTGTTCTCTTGCAGGTTATGTTCGCTCACGCTGTCAAGACTTGTGGTTCTCAGGACCCTCGGCTCCGACGTGTCTTTCATCACCATCGCTGTCAAAATGCAGGTAAGGAAGATTAATTATGCTATAATTAATATTACCGTGACCTTAGAGCTTGAGAGACGGGCGTAGGCAGCGGACCGCAACACACGCGACTCGCTCGCTACGCTTCTGCAGAGCGTCTCATATCACGGTCGGTAATGCAGGGTTCTGAAAATGGTAAGAAACAGTTTGTCATCCGAATAATGTGGTTCCAAAGGAAGGTGCTGAATACGAGGAAGGAAAATGTGTTGTGGTGTAACATTTTGTAATAACGCGAAGGATGAAAAACCAAATAATTATCGGAGAATTTCGGTGTAAAAGTGATGCGTTCTGAAAATGTTATTCTGGAGAGAGAATATATAATACACCGGTGTGGTCATAATTTTGTTTCAAAGTAGGGTTGTAAAATTATGCAAACACGGACTTCTTCTTCTTCTTGTTCCTTGTGTTATGTCTGCACTTATGGACCGACTTCTGCATAGGACTGTCTGCCCCTTTATCTGCCCATCATGCATTTCATTACCCTCCCCCAGTCCCCCTCTCCAAGCCTCGCTTAATCTGGTCAGTCCGCGAAAATAACATTACTAAAGGTCTAACCTTTTCGCGGATTTGGACATTCATTAGTGATGAAAAATAAAGTTTTTGGAGATGCTGGCAATGTAGAGCACTGTAATTGCAATAAAAGAAGCGGTGGAGTTTTGCGTCCGTTGTTCCAAATTGTGTTTTAAAAAGGTCATGAATAGTTAGTCTGTAAAAGGATGGTTAATTAATTTTGCTTGCATCTTCGATATGTGTCACGGAAGAATACATTCATTTTCATCATCATCATCATCAATTCCTGTTGTCCCTCATGAGACATAGGGCACCAACAAAGCACCGCCACCTGGACATTAATTTTGGAACTGAATTAAAACCTAGAAGGAGTAACAGACCGGACATGCCAGTTGCACACTTCTTGTCGATGTAAGTCGGTGTCGTGCTTTTTCAGTGATCATTTCTCTGCTAATAACCGCGCTGTAAATCAGTTCTGGTCCTTCATGTATTACAGCATCACTTTCCGGAGCTAAGAACCCTTTAAAGAGGGTCTAGAAAAGAAGGAAGAGGTAAGGAAGGAAAAAGGACATGTCATTCATTTACTAGGATGTTAGTTGTATGAGTTATAAACATTTTTAATTACGAGAATAATCTCCATGATTATCAAAGTGATGTGGTACTTAAGTAAATGAATTCAAAAGAGGTCTTTGATGTGGTGATAATTTCCTCCTTTTCTTCAAGAGAGAGAGAGAGAGAGAACAGAGTTTAAGTGTGCAGACGCATTTCGGTTCTTGACGACTGTAAGAAGTCCTTTGATAGAGTTTATAGAAGCAAACTTTAATGGATAATTTGCGTGCATCATACGATAGATAATCCTTTTACACCACGTTTCAAATATGCCTGTCTGTAAAGTTTGCAAAGACCGAACATGGGTCGTTGCATCTCTCTACATTTATTTAAGACCTTTGTTCATTTCTGTGTATCATTCCACATAGGGATTGTGCTTGTTCTGACAGCTTTAGAGAAATAAACGAACTAAGTCAGTTTTACATTAACAGTAGTGGAGATGAATCCCTGCCGACCTTAAGCAAACCGTAATATGTTGGAGGATGACGCTGTTGGAATTAGTTTATTTGGGGCCTTTGGTATTTCGTAATATTTACGACACATAAGAGAAAGGATTTGGAACTTTTTTTACGTATTTTGCGAAATGTCGAGCCCCTATGATATTTTAGAAGTTCTCTCTGTGCGGGTTGTGTGTGTGTGTGTGTTTTTTTATTTTTTTAAAAAAAAAAAGACAGCCTGATAGGTTTATAGGGGCGAATGCGTTTGACGCAACTGTACACGTTCGCTTTCGAGAGAGAAGAAAGAATTTCTCCGGGTATTTCCCATTACGTGACCTGTCATGCGTTTCTAAATACCGCAATCCCCCTCTTGCCTTTGTAAGTCGCGCTCTTAACTGTTCGGCGCATGAAATACAAAATCCCTTCTTCGCTGCAGGGTGGATGTGTGGGCGTTTATGACGCCGTAACTGTGTAACTGACCTCATTCACATTAGATAAGAGACATGATAAAATTAATGCTTCCCCCCCCCCCCCCCCGACCCTAACACCCAGCTGTGATTAGGGTGAAGCGAGGATAAAACTCTAGGTAGTCTTAACTTCGTCCGGCTTTTTATTCTCGGAGATAATTGGAGGACGAAAGTATCGTGCTGCATTGCAGTGAATGGGCTTCTGTATGAGAGGTGCCAAGTTTAAGGCCCGTTTCACACTGTCGACCGGTCGCCGGCGACCACGTAGAAAAGCTAAGTACGAGCTTACACACGAGGGCGACCGCGACCAATGGCCGCCGTCGACCAACAAGAAGTGAGCGACGCACAGGAGACCAACGACCACGATATACGTAGATGGCAATCACGTGTTCACATTGCGGGCAACTCAGTCAGCGACCAGAGCTCAGAGAGGTGACATATCCATTGTTTCTTGAAGAGTCACGAAGAGCCATTTTGGACCTTGCAAGTCCGTTTGTATAATCAGTCAGTCAGTGGGAAAAGGTTGTGGAATTGTTTGACGAATTTTTATCATTATAGTGATCTCCTCGATGTCCATCATGCTTGACTGCTTCCAAAGTATTTTTTTTACTGAGGCTGCCCTGCTGGTCTCCTCGTTTGGTCGCTGATGGTTTTGGTCGTTCAGCGACCGGTCGACGCAGCCAAGATTCAGGTTATGTAGTATGTTAGTGGTTTTCCTCAGCACTCCTAAACAGACCGCTTCGTTTCCACGTCTGGGTGAGTTCGCCGTGCATTTTTATTTAACTTTGTTCGACGCTAAATGGTTGAAGGTGTTTTCATAATAACCACTGCATAGTCTGAATTGATGTGCGAACTCGTGAGGTGTTTTATCGTATGACCGTGCCAAATGTTTTATTTACCTCGATAACTAACGGACCATTGGAGCTCTACATTTGAAACTTCGAAACTTAAGATAAGTAGACATTTATCTATCCGATGTTTCCCTTGTAGCTGGTTGTCGGCCCTGTATGCTTTATAACAGATATTTGGTACAAAATAATCTTATCGATTTTTCTATCGAAGGTGCTAGATTTTGCAATTGAGAGTGAAAATTTAGGATGTTGACTTCATGAATTTAATTAAATACAATTTTGGATGACTTAATATGCACTTGGCAGACTGGTCAACACTTGTGATTCATGTCACGCCTTATCGCCAGTCATTACTCGCCGATTGCAACCGTTCCATCTGACAACTGGTACAGATCCTTGGGAATGCGCTTAGCGATCTAAATTAGCATGTAATTTGAATTTAAAATTACTGTTTTCGAATTCTCGAATACGACCATCGTGTTATACCATCCTTCATACTCGGTGTTCAGATGATTTGAGCATGTCAGTAACCAAATCTTCCACATGCTAGTAGTGAGTTTTGGGTCTCAGATTTTACGCAAAAGGACTTACGATGTCAGAAAATACCAACAATAATTTCTTGTTTCGGTGCAACATCGCTATCAATACGTTTTTCATGTACGTAGCGAATGCAGCCAAATTTAAGTTCTTTAAACTTCTTTCCCGAAACGTCTTTACGTGCGTAATATTCGGTTTACGTTACCAGCAAAGAAAAGAAACACGGACGTTTTATTAGTGGTGCAGTCATTAAAACTCGAAGTATAAGGCAGTGAATGGTTGTCGGAGCACGTTTTAAGCTTTAAAGGCTTTGCTGTGCCTGATAAGACGCAGGTGACACGACTATAATCGCGCGTTCCCTGGCTCTGATTGGCTTCTCCGACAAAGTACGTACGTTTACGTGGTACACCTCAGGCCTTTGTCAATTGCTTTAACCGGCGCAGACCAATGTAGCATGACACATCCATGCCTTAAAATCGTTTCCTACCCCTGAGCATCACGACATGACACAAAACATCGCTGAGAGATTATTTACCAGAGGTTGTATTCATTTAAATGCATGAGTTTTGTATAAGCGCTTCATTGAATTATTTTCTTTCAACAGATGGGAAGATATATAAAGAAAGAACAGAAAGTGGGAAGCTACTCAACTGAAATACACGTGGATTTCTGTTTAAAGGATCAGAATTCTTTCATCGGAATCGAATTAGCGGGCTCCGTGTCTCCTTTGTGTCCTTGTGTCTGCCCGCAGATTCAGTTACTGGGAGTTGGGCGTACAGATATTATATGAATCAGTGGACTCATTTGCGTCAAACTCTGTGTAAGCATCGACCTCCTTTAACAGCCATCGGATCTTTTTATCATTTGTAACGTCTCGTCGGCTTTACCAGCTTGGCGGTTGTGCCAACTTTTGAGATGGAGGAACTAGAGAAATTCGACACGAGGCAGGTTGACAGACCACATATTTGAAATTAGCCATGAATATGGAGAAATTATTTTTTATCCGAAACGTTAGTATCTGCGTACGGCGTTACAGCTCATAAGACAGACATTGACTCTGTTTTGCTACTAATTAACTTACTCTCTTAATTATTTAGTTACTTTCCATTCCAGTCTCTGGGGATAACTTAGATATTTAACTCCTTTGTCTTTGGGAATTCATGTTTAATTAAATATGTTTCTAGTCTAGAGAACACTGATGAACGATATAAATATACACTTTATATATTTTCCTCTTGTTTCAGTCTGATTTGACCTTTATATATATATATATTATGAGCCGGGA